AAAAAAAAAGTTTGGACGGCTGTCCTATTTATATGTTTCGAATTTAATAAAATAGATTATTGTCTTGGCCCGAGTGATGTCATTTTTTTGCTCTTTGCGACGAAGAAGACAACTTGATTGAATTTTTATTCTCGCGTAGCACGGTATGTGTGTTTTGTAACACGAAAAGCAAAAGCTCTCAGTTATAAGCTTGTTAATATTAATATTAAGAATTTGAATATTCGAATTACATTTAAGGTTTACTCGAATAATTCTAATAAAATGAACAATTATAATAATTCGAATAAAACGAAATAATCCAAATAAATAAAAACGAATTCGAATTCGAATAAAACGAAATAATCCAAATAAAACGAATAATTCGAATAATAATAAGACAAATAAAACGATGATAATAATTCGAATTAATATTAATTGTTAATATTAAGATTGGGTTGTATTACGAATAGAAACTCTAACTATTGCTTTTATCCTGGAACGAGTATTGTATTTTTTTTGTCATTCTAAGCAATTTAGATGGACCCACATCAACTAATTTTTTTTAGCCAGCTTAGCCGGCTAACATCACTATATTTTTCTGCCATTCTTTGTACAAAAAAAGAATAAAACTCTACAATAAATATTTTTTTTTGAAAAAATCTCTTCGTTACATCATAACTAGAGACCTATTCTATTAAGTAATGAAGCTATTTTTTTAAAAGGTAGGACAGTAAGTGACTTTTATACTTTTAAAATTTGCACAAAATTTAAGGGATCTTTAGGCCGAGTCAACTATAATAATGGTAGTGGTAGTATTATTATTTACCAATAGTTCTTTGTTAATAATAACGATCGATAATAATAATAATAATAATTGTGATGAACTTTGTGATCATGAAAGGGATTAATAAATAATGAACTTGAACGGGAATGTAAACTCAACTAACATTCAAAAAAGATCTATTCAATATGTAAGAAGTAATGTTAATTGGGTATATTTGAATTTGTAACAAAAATATTCATACGTAGTTTTTTTTTTGGGCAAAATCCAACCCTTTTGCCAATCTGAATCAAACTTGTATGAACCAGTTTCACCAAATATTTTTGTTATTTTTTAGAAATCAATGAAAAAGTTAAAGAGCAAGCATCCACAACAAAAAAATGAAAGACTTGCATCTTTCTAACATTGAATGGATTCTTTACCTTTTAATATGCTTCTGAGAGAAGCTTTATCAAGAAATTAGATCCTAAATTCGTGTACTAATAACAAAACAATTTAAAACATTATTATTTTCAGACAAATATTCTTGAACTGCATGAAATTGTTAATAACAAGTTATTGCGTATTAATTGAAATCTATAATTAAATATGGAAGGAATTTTCATGTATTAATATGCGAATTGCATTTTCACGCACAACAATATCATGAAAATACACTTTTATTCCCATTGCTTCAGCGAGAATAGATTGTTGAGAAAGAACTCTTATGACATAACCACAACAAACAGTTCCCAAATCATTATAACTTTAATGATTTATCAAGCGTATTTTATAGCACTTAAAAGATGCTTTCACCCAAGCAAATAGTCTCAGCAATCACCAATTCAGCAACATTCCTACTATAACTGAGCCAACGAATTTAGTTATTATATATTAGTACAAGCAGGAACTTTAGCATCTATGATATCTCTACTATAAGAAACATCTTTTAAAAATTGTTTGAAAAAACCATTTTGTAAAACGTTGACTACAAAAAACCATCAAATAAACCAACTTGTGTATTAAGTAAAGGTTGCTCTGTGAGTGGAAAATAACTCAACTATACGTGTTTTAAACTCTGATCAAAGATTTTTTGTACGAGCCTATTACTTTTGAAAAAGTACATTCACATTTTGTAAAACTTTGACTGAAAACCATCAAGTAAACATGACCTGCGTATTAATATTAAGTAAAGGTAAAAAATTACTGTGTTTGGGACTTAGATAAAAGAATTTATTTGAAACCATTGTGACTTTGTTGTTTTATGACATCAATTTGATTCGAATCGAATTCAATTTTATAAATTCGAATCGTGATTCAGAGCCACACGGAATGGTGAATCAAATATTTCAATATCTTGATTGTTCCAATACAAACTCAATTACTAATAAAAGTTTTTGGCCACTTGAAGCACTTTTAACCTGCAGTAAGTTTAATTTCAAATCGCATGAACATCATAATTTTCTATTAAAATATCTGATTTTTTTTAATGATTTATAAATAATATTGACTTGCAGGAATTTCATAAATGCAAATTTACACATTTGTAAAATCAGATGACATCAACACTAATAAATAAATAGTTAATTAGTAATTATTTAAGTTCTATAACAAACTATGTATATAAGTGATATTTAATAAAATATAAATATTTAAAACAATATATAAATATAATTAAAACGATGATAATAAGTTTAAAAAATAATAATATTATAATGTTCACATGTACAGCACGATCTGTAATAAATAAAAATGAGAATATGTTTTTGATATATATATACACACATAAAAGAAAATATTCATTCCATCTTTCACATTTCTTCACTTACCAATAATACTGGCTCCCCATACCCAACTTTATCAGGTCAAAAATCATACCCTCAAGTGCCACACATGACGGGCACACATCATAGTCACATTGTTGACATCTTAGGCGTTTCCCTTCGTAAAACTTTTGACATTCATCACATTTCCATGGTCCATAAGATGATGCATATCGCATAGAATGACTTCTATCACATTTTTTAACAGGTACACATCGAGCATTAGGCTTGCAGTGGCTAGGGCAAGCATCAAAACTGCAAGTTCTGCAATAATATTTAGATTTCTGCGAGAAAAATATAAAATTGAGCGTCAAAAGAGGATTGAAATTTTTGTAATTCGATGAAGAAAATAAAAATGGAAATAAAATAAAACAAGTATAAAATCATTTACCAATGTTGTTCCGTTTTTTCCACACACGTCACAAAACCATTGACGCACGCCTGATTCTTTTAATTCATGTCCCGCAAAACATAAAGGCAAGGGGTCTTGTAATGTTAATGTCATGGATCCAGATACATCGATCAACAAAGTATAATCGATGGCAACGTCACTAAGTTCTCTGCGTTGTTGAACTTCGGCCCACGTAGCAGAAACATTACTGACAGATAATTGCTTAATCGAAAGAACATTGGAGGTGGTAATTTCCATTGCAATGGTTAGGAATGCAAATTCAAGCAGGTAAAAATCTTTGACAGGAATATAAGTGAATTTTCCAGAACTTGCAATCTAATTCAGTACGAAGACATGAAGAGATAATGTTCAGTGAGGAGGTTCGCTGTGCTCTCTTTTTTTTTTTAAAAAAAAAATATTAATGTGCTTTTTGTTTCGTAAGAACAAAATGTGACAGTGTTGGCATTTCGCTAGTTTGGAGATGGCAAATGTCAATTTCTTTCTTAATATTAAACTTTTGGCTATAGCACAAAAAATAATGTCAATGGCAGCATTGCCACTAATAAATTTCGAAATCCTTTAATAAGCATTGAATGGCTTTACCTTTTCCATCTCTTCTCCATTTACACCATCTCCAACCCCGAGGACAAATAAAAAGTTATTGTCCACATTGGTGAATTTACTATAGATATCTTTGCTGCACTGATTAGCAGTCCTCTTGCTGCGGGTATCTTCTCCATCAGTCACGATAATCATGATCCAAGGACGAGAAGCGTCGGCTTTTCGACGGAAGGTATCTGTTGCCACGTCGACCATACTGTCGTAGAGGCGAGTTCCACCCCTCGCAACATTTTCTAAGCTATTGAGAGAACGGTGCAGCATTGTCTCACTAGTAGTAAAGCTCTTTAAAGAAGACACACATTAAATAGAAAGTTAATAAAATAGCGCAATGACGACTAAACAAAATCTCATAATATTGATGAAAATAAACAGCACTTCACCTGTCTAATCACTAAAGAATCATTAAATGTCGCGATGCATCCACGATCTAACCCATCACGATGCAAATTTGTTATGAGCTCATTGCTAGCCTTGATAGCACGACTAATTCTGGTATTCATTTTTTTTTGTTATAGTTATTGTTTCAAAAAATACTGAGACGGCCCAGAGACCGCCTTTATACAAATCAGAAGAAATATCGTGTGATTAAAAATCATTAAAATAATTAGATAAACAATGTACAGTTTCCCTTTTATATATACATAATATAAGTTGGCCTTTATTAAATTTCCTTTATTTATAAAATTGTTTGTTTTTGTGATTATTATTATTTATCGAATTGATTTTGTTCAACAAATGCGTTCATTTTCTGTTTTTCAATTCCAAGGACAAACAAGACTGGAATCAATCTAAAAATAATCAATCAAAAAAGGGATGTGCGTGGTTTGATCATTTAACATTAAGAGAATTTATAATTCAACGACGATGATCATTATTATTTATTATTTATTATCCATCTATAATTGGTAGTTGTTAGAGAATGTGTTCATTGGCAGAAATCAATCACACAAACAATAATGATTACTGGTGCAAACGTTTCATATTCCTAGTGGAACTTTATAAATATTACACTGTTCAGAATGTTGGGAATACAGCACAAAAAAATCGCGTGTCTTCATATAGTACTTTATAAATTTTTTTTGAACCCTTGTATAATAAATTTGTTTTTTTTATACTTTGAAAATCTTCAATAAAATATTATGTTTTACACTTGATTAAAAGTAATTATCAATTATTTACCAATACTTCTCTCTTCCCTAACCTTGATATTCTGCGATCTACTTTTCAAGTATATAAACGTATATTTGCAAGTCGTTAATGATAGTCTCCCATTATGCTTGTTACGAATTTCTTCTATGATGGAGAATTTGATTTCTGGTTGAGCTGGTGCTTGCTCTGCAACTATATTGTCAACACCACTGAGCTTTTCTCAGATTCCACTGATGATAGAACCAATGCGCGTGAATATACCAGACATCTTTTTTTTTTAAAAATATTTTTATGTCTAAATCAAAAATTTGGTACAAGATTTTCTATATAAAAAAAGAAAAATTTATTTTCGAAAAATAATTAATAGCGTTGATGATTATGGAATGAAGTACAATAATACATTGATCCTTAAGAAAGTTTTCAAATCTTTCTATTTTCATCTTGTAATTTATTTGAATCATTTAAAATACATTGAAGTGCAATATATTTCTCATTCAAATATATAAATAATTGTTTGTTTTCCTCGTCCGCATCATCATATTCTTCATCTCCATATTCAAAATATGTATATGGAAGTTTATCCTGAGCTTTATTATATACATCTGTTAAATTTTTACGAATTTTCATAAGATTTTCATATGTCCTAATATATTCATTTAACCTATCAAGATTTAGATATCTTATAAAGCTATCCAATTTATTGATCCTTTTTAATCTTGACCACTCCATTATGTCATCCCTATCTATATATAATCGACGTCTTCTCTCTTTATACCATGTTTTGTTTACTAACATTACATTTGCAATTTTTATTGGATCTTTGATTTGCTTTATAATTTTACCAATTAGTTCTGGTGGTAATTTAAACACTGGAGCATTAGAATCCACATACTCGATTTCTTATCTAACCTCTACTAGATCTCCAGCCTCGAACGGGTCTTTGCTGTCATCTAGATTAGCAAGTGCTTTACTGTATAGTTAAAAGTTTGGGTAATATAAGATAACATTTTTGTTTTATTTTATATAGAATGCAGAAATGTTTAATTCGAAAATTTTATTAATTTATTATTAAGCCTAGTTTCGTTAACTGTCATGCTATACATGTCCAGCTCGCTTCACTCGCTTGTCTGATAACTACTTTGACGAAAAAAAATTTTTTTCTTGGATTATAACACATAGTAAACTGATATGAAATTGAGACCTACATGTCTTTGTTGATATGCATGATATAAAAAAAATTAATGATATCGAAATTATTATGAAATTGGCTTTTGGAACACCTTATGAATATAAACTGGATAAATTGTCTCAGAAAAAAACGAGTATTGTCCCAGAAACACCCATATTATACAATAGTTTCTCCCTTTAAAAAAAAATCAATAGACTCATTAACATGTCAGTTGTATGCTGTATTTTATCACAGTTACAAATTAGACATACATTTTCCCTATATATCCAATTATAAATATATTACCTTTTTCAATTGATTCTAATGGTTTATCTTCTTTTTTAAGATTAATGTCATAGATTTCCATCCCAAATATTGTCAAATAACTAATGCAATTATATCATCTAGATAACTATATATTCAATTTTGCTAGTCATTTCTTTCAAGATGTTACACCCTATCATTGCTAGTGTTAAATTAGCAATCAATACTGGATTACAAATAGGCAGTCCTTTGATTTCAAAATATGTTTCGTTTTTATATTCAATGAAAAGAATCTTTTTATAAATACCCATTTGAAGTGTTTAGGATCATTGCTAAGGAGGCTCTGAGCATATTTCAACACTATCTACTAAACATCTTGTAGCAGATGTATGCATATCTTTAACATCTGCTGCGAATATTTCCATGTTGCCATCTGAGAAGTTGAAAGTCTAATGAATGGACTTTCTAATACCCTATCTATTTTTGATAGTAATGGCTGTGAGTAATTTACTCACTTTTTCATTTATCCGGCCTACATTATGTTGAACATTTATATATTTGGTAATATAAGTTCTATTGAAATATATATTTCCAAACTATATTTTTTTATTATTGAATATATATTTTTCTAGTGATATTAGCCGGCAGAAAACCCTTAGCTTAAATAAATCCCAGTTGATGAAAAACTTTTCAGATGGTACTAAGCTTGCCGGTATCATTATTACCGCTATTATTACTATTAATAATATTATTATTTACTATTGTTATTATAATATCCCGCCATTATTACTATTTAATGGCTTGAATAAGTTTTATTCGAATTATTTATTTTAATAAAATGAATAATTATAATAAAATGAACAATTATAATAAATCGAATAAAACGAATAAATTGAATAAATCGAATAAATTGAAATAATTCGAATTAATATTAAGATTGGGTTGTATACGAATAGAAACTCTAACTATTGCTTTTATCCTGGAACGAGTATTGTATTTTTTTTGTCATTCTAAGCAATTTAGATGGGCCCACCTCAACTAAGTGTTTATGCCATTGGATTCTGCACTAAAATTCCAGACGTAAAAACGAATGTCAAGAAATATTTTTTTTATCCAGCATAGCCGGCTAACATCACTATATTTTTCTACCATTCTTTGTACAAAAAAAGAATAGAACTCTACAATAAATATTTTTTTTTTGAAAAAATCTCTTCATTACATCAAAACTAGAGAACTATTCTATCAAATAATGAGGCTATTTTTTTAAAAGGTAGGACAGAAAGTGACAGTTATCTGTGGCTGCTAAAATTTTTGGGTTCTCATCACTAAAACTTTTTCAAACTGACCCGGCGACTCGACTTTTATTTTTCTATGTTATTAAAATATTTTTATAATAAAAGTCCTAGAATTTTTTTAAGCCGTAATTTTTTTACTATTCCAACTCTTCATAAAACATATAGGACACAATTATATACTGCCAATAATTAATGTACTGATTAAAAATGGCGAAGAAATTAAATTTGGTTGGGAAATGTTGCAAATTGACCATAACTAAACTTTAAAAGATTTTTTGATGAAATTAAAATACAATATTTAGACATTGTTTAATAATGTATGTAATAAATTGTATTTTTTACTTAGGCACAAGCAATAATTCTCCAAAAAGGACGAGAAATTTTATTAATGAATTGATTTAATAAAGAGGGCTTTAATTTAAACACATATTATTAATAAGGCTCCGAATAAATCGAATTGAGTCGAATTTTAAAGTAATTCGGTTTGATCCGAATTCCAAAAAACTGAATTTGATTCAAATTCCTAAATTTCTTTTAAGTTTCTATTCAAATAAGGTTTATTCGAATGATTTGTTTTATTCGTTATGAATTTGGGTGATTGAAATCATTGAATGTTTATTTGAATAAAACGAATAAAACGAGAACAAGTATTACGAATAGAAACTCTACATATTGATATTAATAACAATAATGATAATTGCATTATTGATTGTTTCAGAAGAACAACCTGATTCTGGAAATATAATTGCAAATAATGCAAATAATATTAGTGATGCTTCATCACTTAACAATAATATGAAAAAGAGCTTCCTGAATTGGAAGAAGATCTATTGTAATTATTTTATTTATTTTCAAACTTATCTTTAGATTTAAATATTTATATTTATAAATAACTTTAAATAAAATTTCATGTGCCTAAATTATATTATCAACTAGAAAATTTATACAAGTTTTTTGAATGAATTTTGTGTTTCCACTTTGTTCATGTGAGTGTTTTACAGTTCTTTTATTGGATCAGGTTCTTTCTTTTCTTTCTTTAGAGTTTGTTGATCCATTACCCATTGCTATAAGCTGGGGTCATTACAGTGTTGTGACCCGAAACTCTGAGTTTAGGAAAAACCAGAAACAGAAACTAACAGAAACTACCCGAAACTAGTTTAGATTAGTAGTTTATGTTTAAGTTTAGGTTTAGTTTTAGTTTTCTGCTTAGTGTAAGTTCATTTTCCGAAACGTTTCGGGAAGCCAAAAGAGTTTCTGGTCACAACACTGCGTCATTAAAAACATGCCTTGATCTGGTTTGGGAAAAACTTGAAAGAATTCATGCAATTCAGTCAACGCTTCTCATTTTGGAACTATTGATGAGCAACCACAACTTTAATAAATAAATTGTTTTTCCATATTCAATAGAACTGCCATGTTTACTTTTCTTCATATATATATATATATATATATATATATAAGGTTTTACAACTAGAGTAGGTTTTTTATTTTAAATTGAACAAGAAAAACGTCTGCTTAAATAGATTATTAATGCATTCATTGATTCCAAAGTATATATTGTTGATTTTTGGTTGAATTACAACCTCAAATAGGTTGTTAAAAGATATAAATTATGTCACTGATC